CATGAGGCCTGCTTGGTAGCAGTGGCAGCGTGTCGTCGGCTCGCACGTTTGTCCTCTCTATGTTCCCACTCCCTGTGCACAGCCTCGGCACTCTTTCTCACCACCGCACGCCATCCGGCCCGGTCAATTGCCAGTGTCTCTAGTTGCTGATGGCTGATACCCGCCAGACCAAGCCGACGTTTTAAAGTGTCCTTGTACCGCAACCGTGGTCTACCTCGGGGCCTTGACCCCTCTCTCAGTTCAGAGTACAGCAGGTCCCGTGGCAGTCGTTCCTCAGACATCCTGATGACGTGACCGGTCCATCTGAGTTGTGAGCGGGTAATCATGGCTTCCATAGCAGGCATGCCCGCCCTCCTCAGGACTTCCACGTTGGATATGCGGTCCTGCCAGGTGATGCCCATTAGTCCGCGAAGATGGCGTTGGACCAGGACAGACAGTTGTCGGACATGTCGGGCATACAGGGTTGACACTTCTAATCCATAAAGAAGTGCACTCAGCACTACAGCCCTGTAAACATTCAGTTTTGTGTTCAATCGTATAGACTTCACGTTCTGTCATATTACAGCCTGTCATATTGGGTAGTACTGCTGTGTTGCTAAGTTTATGCTGTATTGCAGCAACATTAAGATTAGCCTGGGTGCCATCCTATGTGTATGCTGGGGCTTCCATACTCGCTCCTTAATAGGATGGCACCCAGGCTACCATAAGATCTGTTTAGAGATCAGTATGATATAATAACCTGCTGCTGGCATGCCGTATGCCTGTTTGTTACACCGAAGGGTGGTTATAATGTTACCAGCTATTCATATACAGATACAGGTACAGGTACAACGCAATGTTTGTGCTATAAATACATTAAAACTAATATACATAGTCATCAAAATTCAATTTTCATCTGTCATAGCAACCTCCACTGAAACAACAGTGCAGCGAACAACAGACAATGGAGTCAGAACAACAGACAATGGAGTCAGAACAACAGACAATGGAGTCAGAACAACAGACCGACAAACCACTACAGTCTACAGTACCAGCAAGGAGGAAAGGCCCCTAGGTGATATACAAATCAACATTATTAACTCTGCATGATAGGTATAACTGCTGTAAATTGTATCTGAGCTTAGGAACAAGAGAATCCCTAACTGAATTTATCATTTTGATTATTATATGATATACTTGCATTCCTTAACTGAATAAGTCAATGGTAAGAAAGTGTTACATGTATATTGGACCCTTCTCTTAGTAAGGAGGGTGTTATTAATATATAGTATTTACCTAATAAACAGATGTACACAACATACATGTGTAAGGTCATTATAATAAACTTGACTTTCAGATAAGACGACATACAGCACATCCCCGGCCCAAACAACTGAAAGTCCTGACGAAAAGGTAAAGTCTTTCCAACAAGACTCTACACAATGATCCTGATTTTATCCATAATATTGAAAAATGCATGCAAATATGTTAAACTTTGCAACATTCGAATGGAAGTTCATTGTGATGGCAATTGACGTTATGAAGATTTGAAACTCCATAAAGCTTAAAGTTTGTAATGTTTCTGCACAGCTCCTGCACATTCTACAAGGGGTGGACGAAGAGCAGCTGAAATCAGCAAAACCAGAGGTGATCCTGTCTGCCATGAACAGCATTAATGACGTCCTCACAACCAGTGGCAGTGCCGAGTCGCCCTTGTCACTATCAGCAATGGTACGCTACTTCACAACGCTCTTGACATTCAAGTATTTTTATCTGCAAACTTTATCATTGCTGGTGACATAACATCAACCCACAGGATAGAGGCAAGTGGCGGGCTGCCATCAAGCTAGGGAACAACATACATTATACCAGATAGTGAGTGAGTGAGTGAGTGAGTGAGTGAGTGAGTGAGTGAGTGAGTGAGTGAGTGAGTGAGTGAGTGAGTGAGTGAGTGAGTGAGTTAGTGA